CCTTGTGCAGGTATGATTTAGTTGCTTCCAGAGGTGCACTGAGGTGGGAAATGATGCCGTCCTTCCCTTTCAAGTCAGGAGCCAAACTAGCAGGAGGGTCCCGCGAGCCCCCTTCCAGCATGTCACAGAGCAAGTGTGCTACTCCACAGGGACGGGAAGGTTTTGCCCAAAAGGAAAAACATGTCATCACCAAGGCTAATGAAAACGTCGATTCAGTTGTCATATAGGTTAGCCCAGGCACCTTCCTTCAGCATGCCTGCAGCTTTTGAAGTCTTAATTTATGTTACAAGTCCCAAATAGCTAGGATCGGCGCATGGGCAGGAATGCAAAGATGTTCTCATTAGCAGCATTGTTTAACAACCTCATTTATAAGATACCTTGAGATGGTCCAGTGGGATAGCCCATGTGCATGTACCTGAGGACAGGCAGCCCAAGCTGCCCCCCAAAACTCAGCAAGACTGTTCCACAACGCTCCCCTGCCCCAAACAAACACAGTCCCTCCCAATAACTGTGTTTTATTCAGATGTTGCCAAGGAATTGGCCAAAAAATCCAAGTGTTTTTGAGAGACTCTGGTAATTGTAGGTGGCTAAATATGTTAAAAGTGCATTTAGCTACTGGCCTCTGTCAGAGCTATTCCTTTTCCTTTACTGGGTGTTGCATTGTAACTCAGGGGGACTCTGATCATGTCATGACTTGTGTGTGAAGAGTTCCTAGTCTCAGCGGGACTCTCCAGAAGGAAATATTTCTTATTAAGGGGGAGATTGAAAGTCGTTTTTGGATATTACACATTGAACACTCAATGTGTAATGCACATTACACTCGCCAATCCAAAGACTATTCGTAATTTTTCAAAAAGAAAATTGTAGTCTCTTTGCTGCTTCTCTGCTTGGGTATTTCCTAATTTTATTCATTTTCTGGATTGTCAGTTCAGCGTTTGAGAGTTTTACAACCTCTAAAAGTCTCCTGCAGAGCAGGGGTGCAGCATTTAATCACTGTAGCACTCCCCTTTCCCCAAAAAGTGTTCAGATCCTGCCACTGAAGCATTACTTGGGAGCTTCCCTCGGTGCCATCAGCTTTTCCCCCAAATGAAGCCAATTATGAAGATCTTCCAGTGCTTGTCGTCTTTTTCTGGGAAGGTCTAGTTTGAAGTTAGATCTCTTTAGGCATTTCTCCTCTGCGATGCAGAACTTGCTGCCTTTGAACTCTTTGTCTTCGCCGTGTCTTCCTGACCGATGGAACATGTGTACCTCCGTAGGTTTGGACCACTGTGGACTGCACTGGTATTTCTGTGTGCTGAGGAGCAGATGTGGCACCAGAGCAGCACCCAGCCTTCTGCCATCGTCTCCTCCCAGCTCTGAGCAGAGGGTTTCCTAAACAGTTTTCTAACAGCAACGAGTGAGAAAGTCAGTGAGATGTGCCCTGCATCCCATTTATGTGTATGCATGTCTATACACACAGGAATCAAGATAAAGACCTTGTACGTATGCATATGTGTGTATATGCCTATATATGTCTCTATATACACAAATATAAAACAGAAGTCATCCTAGAAAATGACTTGTGTTCCCTCTTGGCAGAGATTCTGTTCCCTCTTTTTCTTTGTTCAGTCTTTTTTTCCACAGCAGCCACCACGCTGTAAGTGCTTTCAAAGATGAGCGTTGCGCTTCGGGCTGGATGGGAGGGTAATGAGGGACTTGTGTAGGACTCCTTCTGGAGGTGAAAATCAAAGGAATATGCAGCTTTTTATTTCTCCAGGAAAGAATTTATGCCCATTGTTCGGAAGACAAAGGCGGATCAGTAGATTGGCTACGATGGTGGTATTTGAGATCATAGCTTGACTTTGGGTGCTTATTTTTATTTTTTTTTTAATGTCATAACAGAAGCACTGCTTGTCTGCAGTGCTGATGTAAAGAGGGGGTCATGGCTACATCTGCATCCTCTCCCTTCTCCTGCAGATAAAGCACAAGATAACTAATAAAAAGCTGTATCACCCACTTTTCGGAGTGCCAGCACACACCTTCTCAAAGAGTCTGTAGAGCTTAATAATTTATTGCATGTTTTTACAGATCTCACCTGCATTTCCTCTGCTGGGGCAGAATGGACAAGCTGGTGCTCAACCCCCGAGCGATGGGGGCTTTGGGCACCCAACAGCAGCCGCTTCCCAAACTGCCGTCCCAAGACTTGGAGGGGAGACGGCGCTTTGGGTGAAGAACTGCTGTAGCTGTCCTGGCACACCTCAACGCGCGCAGGGCGCTGTGCGACCCTGCCTTCCTCCGTCTCTTTGGATTTAATTCCCGCATAGCAGCAAGACCCAGGGCTGCGTTACAAGCGTTTAAAATGGAGAAAAAATTTTGTCACGTGCATATGTATTTTTAACGGGGCTACGAGTTCATTTTGGGGGGTCAAAATGGGTTTCCTACCCAATGTTTCAGCGCTGTGCTTGACTCAGGCTGGCCTGGGAGCCCCGACTGGCATTTGCAGTTACAGCATCCTCAGCTGACAGCAGGAGACCATTTGCATGTTTTGCTCTCATTCCGTGTATCTTCGTGTCTGGAAAGCAGATAATTTTCTGGGAAATGGTAAGTGGCACTAAGAACAGAATAAGGAGGCTGGGGGCAGGTCGTCTCTGTTCACAGGAAAAAGTTAATAAATGATGTGACAGGATGGAGTAGTATGAACATAAGTCTCTTTTGATCTTCACTGCTGGCTTACAAATCATATGAATTTAAACAAATTTGATTACACCTCAATCTATCAGCGATACATGCTGTCGTTACAGGTCTTCTGCACTTCTGTTTATAAAGCCCTATTTAACATACAACAGTCAAACTGTCATCAGTCAGCCAGAGATTTATTGTTCAAACCACAGTTCATCACATATCTTATTTTTTCCTAGACACTTCTAGGTTTGTATATGGATCTTTATCGTTCACTAATGAGAGTTGTGGGGATTTGCAAAAGTGAGATCTAGTTCACCTTGGTATTGATGAAATGTCAGTAGCAATAAATACAGCACTTGCTTTGCAGTGGAGGAGAGGTCGTTTCCTTAATGAGTTAAGATATAAAGGTAATAAAGAAGCTATCACAATTTTCTTTGATACATGAATTAACTTGTTATTTAATATTGCTTCTGTACATTGTCATCCGTGGTAATTCCTGTTCGGAAGCATCCCCAAGCATTTTAATGCACCCCGATCCCCAACTACCTCTTTCTACCGAATGAAGTGTCTATTTTTAAAATAGTCTTTCATTTAAATTGTATCAATATCTGGTATAACTACAGATTGTCCCTTATTTGGTATATAATCTTCAGTCTGTTGTCTGTGGTGCTTGAATCATGTAGTAAATTTTGAAAACAATTAAGTACTGCCATAGCTGTTAGACGATGTTGGTCTTCTGTGCTTGACTTTGGAGAGACTTTGTCGCATTGTCTGTGGCTCTCATCCAAACCCTTACAACAGATGATTTAATCTATAATTTTGTGAGGGATTGTTCAACAACACAGGCACAGCAGGCTAGTCTGATGGTGAAATGATAAAACAGTCCTCAGAATGAAAATAATAAAAAAAAAAATACTCCAGGACTCTATAAAGAAGAAGTGGTTGTACAGAGAAAGGGCAGATACTTCACTGTAAATATTGGAGCTGGTAGAAAGTCGAGAATATAGTGGATAATATGCCAATTGTTGATTTTAACCAGGGCTTTAACGACTTGGCGCGCCATGCTGGTTGCTGCTCGGTGCCCGTGGGGGGTGGAGGTTGAAGGAGATGCTGAGGAGCGTGGCTGGGAGCAGGTCCATGGCACGCCAGGGGCAGGGGGCCAAGCCAGACAGCCCTGGAGGTTCCCATCTGCTCAGAAATTAACTTTTGGGGTAGTCACAGGGGAGCGTGAAGTCACAAGTTAGCATTTTAGAATAAGCTCGTAGTTTGGAAACCCAGCTGGCTGCATAGTCCGTGCCGTGCCGCAGTAATGTGCGATGTCTGCAGCAGAGCCACGCTCGTGTTTTGGACTACTGCCGTTAAGTGCTGATAGACATCTATTACCATTTAAAATAGCAACAGGATGAATTAAGAGTTTATCTGGGGGTTCATTATTATACCCTACCGTGGATGGAGAAGTACCTTGGTGCAGTGCAGCAGCACAACAGCTTTTGTCCCAGGACATTTCATGGGACGTTATGAGGCACAACCCAGCGGTCCTGGTTTTGGCTGGAGTAAAGTTAATTTTCTTCCTAGTAGCTGGTATAGTGCTGTGGTTTGGATTTAGGATGAGAATAACATTGATAACACACTGATGTTTTAGCTGTTGCTAAGCAGTGTTCAGACTAAGTCAAGGGCTTTTCAGCTTCTCGCACTGCCCTGCCAGTGGAGGCTGGGGGTGCCCAAGAAGCTGGGAGGGGACACAGCCAGGACAGCTGACCCAGACGAGTATTCCATCCCATAGTACGTCATGCCCAGTATATAAACTGGGGGGGAGCTGGCCGGAGCACACCACTGCTCAGGTATTAGCTGGGCATCAGTCAGCGGGTGGTAAGCAATTGTATTGTGCACCACTTGTTTTGTATATTCTATTATTATTATTAATTAATTTATTATTATTATTATTTTCCCTTCCTTTTCTGTCCTGTTAAACTGTCTTTATCTCAACGCGCTAGTTTTACTGTTTTTTGGTTTGTTTTTTTTTTCTGGTTCTCTTCCCCCATCCCACTGCAGGGGGGAGTGAGCGAGCGGCTGCGTGGTGCTTAACTGTCGGCTAGAGTTAAACCACAACACCAACACACGTCCTCCCCAGGGTGTGACTTACTGAGATTCATTTGACAAAGGGAGAAAAGGAGCAATTTCAGTTAAGGTGGACAGGAAAGACAGTTAGAGAGACTGGATCTGAACTCCCAGTAATTTGCGGGTGTGTATTAATTTCTACGTTTAGTGCCGCGGCGTATCTTAATTCATTTTCCCCATCGCGCCAAGGAGCAAGTGTTGAGCGCGATTCTGCCTGCCCGATGCCGGGCAGCGAAGGCACCGTGTCTCAGCCCGGGGGGTACGAGGGCAGCAGCATTAAGCCTTCCCCGGGAATTTTCTTACTGGGGAACCCTTGGCACGGCCACCGGTCGTACTGCGTGCGGGGCCAGCGTCCAGCCGACCTCTGCCGAGGTGGTACGTCTTCATAAAACGCGGTGGGTTTCAGCAGTGCGGCATCGGACCGCGCAGGACCGCGTGCGTTTTGCAGCCCGCTGCTCTGCTTGGTGGAAGCTGCTTAGCGGCAGGTTGCAACTTGGGATTTGAATTTTAATTCAAGAACTCAGAAGAGGCTCGGGGGGATGTCCTAATGTGAGATTATTACATGTTGTTGAACATCGAGAGAGACTTGAGTTAGAAAAGATGTTGCAACAGCTCAAAAAATGGTTTATCAGTGTTTTTCTAAATTAGAGAAGAAATTGCAAATTTTCCCCAGGTGACATTTAATTTACATACAAAATAATAAATTCAAAGTTTACTCATCTATTATTCCATAAACCAAGGTGCAATGCGTTGCTCAGGTTTGGCTATGCTCTAATTGTATTAACGAACTTGTTGCCAGCATAATGTAAACACATCCATGGGCGGTCAGAAACCTTCCTGCCCCACATGGAGCTGCAGCCCTGGGGCAGCAGACTTTGCTTGGAAGGGGAATTCAAAGTGAGACATTTGTGGCTAGAAGATTGAACCCCTATATAGAGGTGCTATGTTATCTATAGGTTTATATGTAAATCAAAATACCCTATTTTCACCCAGCTGAAATGATGATTTTTTTTTTTTTAGCCCTTCATGTAGTATGTAGTAGCAGATTGCCTCTAGGAAAAACTATCAGTGTTGTGATGTGGAAGCAGTCTCTCACATTAATCCAGACTGATCTATATGGATTAATGTATTGATTTTAGCCCTAGATAACGGGAGAGTTTCTTGCAGAGGTGATGAGTATGAAGAGACATACAGAAGCTGGTGATGCAGAGGTCTTATGTTCAGTTTGTTAAAACTCACTATGTTCTTTCTTGCATAATCTGCTATTATGCAATTTCATCAAAAAGAAAAGTTGAGTATATTTAAGGGTGGTTCCTATAATTACCAAATTTCTTTGAAAACTCAATTAAGAAGCCATCTGGCCTAGGAATTTTATTGACCTGTCACTGGCTAATTATGTTGAAAATTTAATCTTTTATGATTATCATTAGTAACTGCCCAGTGCTTTGAAAAAACCTTTTTGTCTCCAAGTGTTGCCATCTTTAAATTTCAGAAAGTAATGAGGGGAATGTTTTTATAGCACTAGAGGAAATGTTCTCTTAAGAGTGAAATCCAATATATTATAAATACAATTGAAATGCACAGCAGTCAGGAAATGTGAAAGCTTGTTTTTAGAGCCCTATTTCAGAAAACACATGGAAGGGCTTGAATATGCATGTCCTTTCCCATAAAAATATCTTGAGATCATAGGATTTGGGGTCGGGACTTTCTGTGCTCGGGCAGACGGGGAAGTCCCGTGTCCTTCTGTGTGCTTCACCTCTCGGTGTCCCTTTTTCACACAGAGCAGGTCCAAGGTTGTGCAGGTGTCTGCAGGCTAGAAATGAAGGCAAACCTGCAGACCGGTATTTTGGGGAAGAATACTGTTGGACTGTGGTTGTCATCTTGGTTTTGTTTCACTGGTGCTTCCCCGTAGCTGCCAGCCCCCAGCCCGCTGAGCGGCACCGGCTACGTGAGCATCGGCAGATCAGCTTGAAGAAGCCTTGCTTGGGAATAATGAATCTACATGTGAAGTATGAATGGAAATTCATGGTATTCTGAATTTTAGGTGGTGGCTAGGAGATGCCCAGCCTCCCTGTTCTGCTGGAGCAGCAGCTGGGGATGCTGGAGGGACGTGCCACCACCCTTCTCCCACTCCCTGATCTGGGTTATGTCTGTGTGAGCTTCCAACACCCCTTTGGGTTGTAGCCCAAACGTGTAGGACATCCTGCCCAAAGGGGGTGAAACCCCACTCATGTCCCGGAGCTGGAGAACCCAGGCGTGAACCTCCCTGCCCACCCCACGCATCCCACCTAGGCAGCGTTGCTGGGCCAGTACAGAGGATTTTGGCTTCAGGCAGGCTGAGTCACGAGGAGATGGCGTTTCCTTGCTGGGACACCCTCTGGAAAGCTCCATTCTCCCTTTTGCTCCTTTGGCTCTGATGATTTTCCATCCCGCCCTTGCATCCTGCAAAGAGTTCCTCCATCATCTTGCTTTTAATTATGGATAGTATGCCAATGGTCTTGAGTGTAAACCAATTAAAATAAATTACATTCCAGTGGGCATTAGGGCATATCGCTTTCGTTTCCCTGAAGCATCTCACAATACTTGCCAGCGGGCGACAGCTCCTTCCTCCCCAAGGATTTTCTCTGCCTGTCTTGCACAGAGCGCTTCCCATGGCATTGTTTTAAATGGGATATTTCCACTATTGGTTATTTCTTAGCACACGCCTTCTCCCTGCTGCCATCGTTTTGGAGGCATATCGATATGAGGCAGCTGATAACCATCACTGCAGACCCTGGGATGAGCTGGGCGAAGGGGAGGATTTTACATCAGGTCCTCCACAAACAGGTGGATGGCAGCAAATTATTATGTACTGTAAGGATTCGAGGAAAAAACTTTTCCATCCCGCTTACCCTTATCAGGACAGACACTTCTTCTGTATAAGCAATAATCTATCAAAGGAATGTACTGTGCTAATCTAGTGTCATTTGGTAAACCCGTGTTGCTTTATGTCCTATTTTCCAGCCTTTCTTGCTTTTTAAAATCTCTTTTGAAGCCTCATGTATATTTGAGATCAGACTAACAGGTCCCAGTTTCTTTCCCTTCATGGCTTAGATATAAATGATGCATTTGGAATTCTTTAATGAAATGTGTAAAACCTCAGTTTACCAGATAACAGTATGAAGTGCTGAGTTCTGGGCTTGTTTTAGGATATACTGGATTAAAAAAATGTTTACCTAGTAATGACTTATTATCCACTGGAGTCCTTTAATATGAATTGCTATTACCAAAGAAGTACTATTTTATCTGGGTTTACAGTTAGCCTTCCTCCATTGGCTCCTTAGTGCAGCTAATTTAGCAAAATTGCATTTAAATGAGTCCCTGATGAGAGACCCAGAGTTCGCGTTTTTCTTTTAATAGACATGTTAGTCTTCCTGCATGCTAAAATTCCATAAATGGCTCTTTACTCTTCACATGTGAGACAGCTATTATATATCAGCCGGTGCATTATATTCCCCTCCTCACCTTGGGGAATTACCGAGTAGTCATGGCGCTTCTTTGAGCTGAAAGACAGGCTTTTTAAATTGGATAATTTATATTTATATAGTGGTTGGTGCCCTTTATCAGAGAAGTCTTGGAAAAAAGCTGCCTTCAACAAAGTTAATTTCAAAAAATAAATTCATTCAATACAAATAAGATTATGTTTTTCTTCAGGCTGAAGCCTTTGAAAGTTAAATTGTTTTAATTTTGGGCTTGCTGTTGGCAGCCTGCTACATAGTCCTGTGAAATCCCCCAGTTGATGTGTGAAATACTTTAGCTGGTGAAAATATTGGGATGATGCAGCGATTCTCTCCTCCTCAACCTCAGTTTGACTTCTGCAAAAGTACCTTTCTGGCTAGAGATGAAAAAACACGTGAGCATAGTGTGCAAACGTGTCCTTTCTCTTCGGGCAGGGTAGCTGTAGGTAGAAAAGCCAGCTAGAATAAAAGGAATGAAGCCACAAAATCCTCTGTAGGGTTTTGCACTATTTTGTGTGGAAGAGGAGCATCAGCTCTGCAGGCGTGCTGGGCTGCGGCAGCTCCGCTGCTCGTTTCGTAGCAAAAGTTGTAAGTCCAATGGAATTATTCCTCTTATTCCTGCCTGACTGGTGGGAATCTGCAGCTGCTTTTTGGTACTGGGAGGAAAAAACCCTGCTTTTCTCTACCCATGGCAGTTTAAGCTGGATTCTGTGCTTTGCAAGGTGCAATATTTTCTGTGAGTTTAGTGCAACGGTCACAGCGTGAACCCAAAGTCGGTCTCTGAACCAGACCCACGTGTGCTGCAAGAACCAGCCTTTACTGCAATATTCTGAACTCTCTGCTCTTAGGATGAGCAAGGAGAACGTGTTTAGGTCCTAATTACTCAGGTGCAAGGCCTGAGTTGTACTCAGGTGCAGCTGTCTATAGGAACGTGTGGAGGAATTTGCCTTTTATACATGAATTAAAAAATAGTAGGGCAGTTGCCATCCTGTTTGCAAGAGGAGGGGCTTTGCATCCTCACAGGACTTGCTTTTTTCAGATAGTCCTTGGCAGAGACAAAATGATCTAAAAGTGGCAGATTTTTTTTTTTTTTTCTATCTGAAGTAGATTACATTGAATTTAGTAAAAAAAAAAATAAAAATTCATGTTAATGAAGTGTCATTTTCTTACTTGTGGCTACAACATCTGTGCTATTGATTTCGCAAGCCTGTCTGCAAAGTTCTTGTTTAAGGCAAGGCTCTCTCTATTCTGTAACATTTGCAACTTGAGGGGTTTTTCTCCCCCCCGAAGCTGTTTCTGATGCACGTGAGAAGGGTCACTAGGGGAGGATGGACGAGAGATGCTGGTAAGTGATGGTGTTGTGGGATGCTTGGGGCTGGGCAGGAGACAAGCCTGTCCCTCTTCCTCACACCACGGACGTGCTTCCCACAAAATCCGAGCCTTGGAATGGGAGTCTCACATCAGCGCATTGGTTGTGGGAAGCGGCGCCCGAGTCCTTCATTATTTGAAAAATGCACGTGAAGGCACAGTGTGGGTACAAATGGTACATTTCTGTTTAAATTAATTTTATTCCTGACATGAATGCTGTATTTCATATAGGTCAGTAGTGTCAGGTCCCCCTGTACCTCAGTGTCACCTGAGCAATCTCCCAAGGAGAAAATGGTTAAATTGTCCATGTAACGTCAAAACCTGTCGGGCAGCCGGTAGAACTGCAGCAAATGTTTTGGCTGCTGTTCCTTGGCCAGAAAAAAGGGAGGTGTGGATCAAGGGAAGTATTTTATGAGTTCCTATGAATTTTGGTTGAATGCTTCTGGTTGGGAAAAATTCTACGCAGGAAGTTTCATTTTGATATTTCAAAGGAAAACATTGGTTTATTTTATTTTTCCTATTCCAAATTGTTTTATTTCTAGTGTAACCATCCTATATGTTAAGTGCTGGTATTGATCACAGAGTTCTTGTGAACCGTGTTAAATTGGCTTTGGCAGACGCTGATGTCTATATTAAAAAAAAAAAAAAAAGAAAATATAGCAACATCCTGCTGCAAAGAGGGACATTGCTGGCACTGCCTTTCCTGCCCAGTGGATTTCTGTGATAGCCTCCAGTGGTTCTTTATGGTTTAGTTACACGTTGCCACCAGGACAATTTGCAAAGCTGGTGCCTGCTGCTATGCCGGCGTTGAGATCTTTGCTGGACCGCGGAGCTGCGGCCGAATCCCGCAGCGCACGGGGGCCCGTTTGCAGGGTACGAGCTCTGCTACTTGCCATGTGCTCCAGGGAATGCAGATAAATCTCCCCCCGCTCCTTATTTTTGGGGATTTGCCTGTGTGTCTTGAATACCATGCCGGCAGCGGAGCTCCTTGTCGTGGTGCGCGTTTTGGAGGAGGCTCCTCGTCGATGCCATCCAGGCTCCTGCAGCAGCGCATCAGTCGGGTCCAGGCGCAATTAGTGATAATCCAAGGTTTTACTTTGTTTAGACTGATGCAATCTTTTAAATTTTATAAATCAGAAGAGACCATTTATCTTATTCCCCAGGCACCACTAATGACTAATTAAAAACCGTAATTAACTGGAGCAAAACCATGAGAAATTGCAAGGCAGCAGAAAAGCAGCTCCCATCCCCCTGGAAGAGCATCTCCCCCCGCACTTGCACCCTCAGGGCTGGCCTGAGAAGGGGGCTGACATAGGCAACGTAATGACTTTTTTTACTGTTTGCTCTCCAACAGAAGGGTTTAGTGTTTAAATGAGATGATTAATTTTTCTGGGTGAATTTTGGCTCAAGATTCAGAAAGGGTGATGGACTTCGGTTGGTATTACTAAAGCAATAGTGCCAATGAGCAGACCTGCCCTAAACAGCAATGGACACCTACATATGTGTACAGTGATGTATGTACTCAGTTATTCCAGGGCTTTGTCTCTCAACAGCAGCCAAGCCCCCAAAGCTTTTTATTAATGCAACGCTAGCATTTACCCACACATAAGATGTCATGGTCCCTTGCAAAGCTTTGGTGTTTCAGCTGGCTGTAATCCCAGTACTCCTGAAGGTATAGGCTTGGAAGGGGCGTTTTAAAGAACTGAAATCGTGTCGGTAGGAAACAGGACAGTATTTTGAATTTTTTCCATTCATTCCTACTGCAGACTGACATGCGATGTCTGGATTTCATCTAAGCTCTATGGGAGTCAGTCGGGATTGCGCTTTCAACGAGCAAGGGCATCTTGCCGAGCAGCCTATGGAAAGACAAATGTCATACTTTCCAAGTGCTTCCACTTGGCTTGCACAGTGCAAGGACATTCAAAATAAACATTTTTGAGATAAATGAGTTTCTAAAATATATCATTCACTCAAAGTGCTGTTGATCGTTGCTCTGCAAGCCTCTTGAATGAAAAAAATATGCACTGTGAAGCTTTAAATAGAGCAGCATTCACAATAAAATCAGAAAGGGGAAGTATAGCTGAAATAGGTCTTGGGCAGGCTAGTTAATTACAAATGACAGCTAATAAAAGGGATAGGAATGACAGCACGGAGTTTAAGGAG